TGTCATTTCTTCACTTGCACCTTCATTTTGAATTCAACATTATTATTTACATGTTGAGAATACAAGGTAGCAATATGAAAGTTTTTATGTGGTGATGGTGGAACAATAATAGGTGTGGACATTTTTTTTTCAAACCAAAAAAATAATAATTTTATAAAAATATTTTTATTACAGCAACGTTAAGCCCAGCCTTCTTCATCATTGAAATTGCATGAGTGCAATTGAATTGTCATCATGAATACCATTGAATTTCATATTTAAATACAAATTATTAATAAATATAATAAAAATAATAAATTAAATTAAATTAATAATATAAGTAACATTTAATTCATCTAAATTATTACATTCATGTATTTTAATATCAACTGAAATATTTAAATTTAAAATTAAACTAGCACCAATTAAAAATTCTTTCAAAGTAGGAAATTCAATATAATCATTAATATTACATGCAATACATGATCTTAAATATCTATCTTTACCATTTAAAGAAATGATAGATTGTTGTGATTCAAATTTTTCAATTTTAAAAATATATTCAGGACTAGCATTAAATATTGCCATTATTAATGTTAATATTATTGATCTTGTATCTAAATTAAATTCTTTCATTTCATTTGTTTGTTTTTTTAAATATTCTTGACATTTTAATTTACCAATTTCTTCAAAACATTTTTTACTAATTTCATTAATTGATATATTTGGATATAATGTATTAATAGATTTTAATAATAATCCATAGAATCCACCTGTTACAGATGATAATGATAATATATTATCACTTTCATTTTTTAATGAAAATGTTGATATTATTTCATTTTTATTCATATTTGGTAAATATTCATCTAAATTTCTTAATGGAAATTTGTAATAATTATTTATATTATTATTATCATTTAAATTATTATTTATATTTGAATTAATTAAAATATTTGAATTAATTATAGTTGGTTCATTTGAATTTGATTTAAAATAATGATATAAATATTGTTTAAATTTAATATTATTATTATTATTAAAATTATTATTAATAATATTATTTAAATATATTTGTAATAATTGTTTACGTTGTTCAATTTTATCATTCTATTATATTTTAATAATTTATATTAAGATGAAATGCTTAATAAAAAACATACCTTAAAATTACCAAAATATATTTTAGGAGGAAATGTTATATTGGATAAAATGTCGGGGAAATTCGTTGAAATAGATTCATGTAATGATAATAATTCATTATATCTCTTTACACTTTCAAATATTTCAATACTATTATTATTACTATTTAATTCATTATTATTATTATTATTATTGGTAGCTTGTGAATTTAATGGTTGTTGTTGTTGTTGATGTTGAATATTTTCATTAAATTTACATGTAATATAATAATTAACATGTGATGGTTTTTGTTTGTTATCTAATTGAATATTAAACTTGTTAATTATTAATTCTATCATAGTGTTTAAATTATATTAAGGTAATATATTGAAAATAAAATTCAGTCTCCTAATGTGAGTGTGAGTGAGAGTGTTATATTGTTGATATTTCTTTTTGAAAAGCTCAAGGTTAAATTATATTGAAACATTGATCATTTAAATGAGAGAATGAAGTTAATTTCTGAAATGCATTTTCAATACACCTATACTAGATAATCTAGTCAATTGATGATCATCTCCGTACTGTCTATTTATTCATAAATATATATTTCTAATTTTGAATTATTGTCTATTGTTGGAAGTGAATTAATGGAGAATTTAAATATCAACAAATTCTTTATTTGTTATGATTATTTGTACATTTGCATTGTTCATATTTTCATCAATTGTCCCAAATGGAATGTGAAAAATCTTTTTCAAGTTTAAATTTTATTGAAAACAATATTAAGCAACCAACAATGCCAGTAAAATAAAAGATAAAACTAAACCCAAATTATATCCCATTTTAAGAGAATAAAAGAATAATCCTCCTAAAACAATAATTGCTAACATTTGACGAATAATCTCAAGTTCATTTACACGAGAAGAGTTTGAATGTGCATCATGAGAATTTGTTTTTTTTAAAAGTTTACGTAATTGACTTATCCAATTTTGTTGATTTTCATTTGATTTGATGGTTGATTTTTCACTTTTGATATTATCATTGATAGGTTTATCATCTGTTGATGTAACAGTTTTGATTTCAATCTTCTTTTCATCTTGTTGCAGAGTTCTACTGTTAGTTGTGAAAAATGATCTAACCAAGTTCAAACTTTTAAATTGTTGTTGTGAAGAAGACTTGGAAATGAAGGCAGTTCTGGAGTTATATACTCCTTTGAATGAAGCAACAACTAGTTTTCTATACATTTTTTTATTGTTATTATTTTGGATATTAATCCAAAATCCTTTAATTAATTAATTTAAAGTGTTACACATTGATTAGTCAATCATTTCAAAAAAAACAATTATTATTATCTCATAGCAATATTTGTTGAGGCAGTCAATTGTTGGGTAACCTGTCATGATTGAGAACTCCTAGGAGTTAAATTCACACATTCTATTTTCATAACAGAAGATACAACATTAATGTTAAGAACTCAATAACAACAATTAAATATCATCA